CCCTCCCAGGCTCTCAAACCTGGGAGGGAGGGGGAGACTCCGAGTGGCCGCGGCGCGGGCGCCGCTTCTCCCCCTCCCTCCTAGTCTTGAGAGCCTGGGGGGAGGAGGCAGGGCTGGGGATTCGGGGAAGGGGCGGAGTTGAGGCGGGGCCGGGGGTGGGGTAATTAAAGACGGGGGGGGCGGCCAAAATTGTTTTTGCCTTGGGCGGCAAATATCCTAGAGCCGGCCCTGAGTGGACCTCCCTTCTGATCTCACTTACGCTGGTTGAATCATAAGTAACTTAATTCAAGTCAAAGGAGTTACATCAGCATGAAAGTGGTAGATCGTCAGAATCAGACGGTACACAGGGCGTAAGTTAGAACTTGGCACGAAGGCCACTAACTTGAGGTAAAATTCTAGTGAAGACAAGGCAGTTTGTAGTTTTCACCCAAGTTAGCAGGTCAAATGAAGAATATGGGAGAGCCTAGGGTTTTACTTAGAGTTAAAAACACACCTTTTTTCCTAGTGAAGACACTGCCTCCATTTTGTGGTCACAAGTTCACGACAGCCCCAGCTCAGAACTAGAACCCCTGTTTTATGGGACCTCAGTAGGCCAAAGTCCTTCCAATTTTTCCTTAAGGATTGGGGCTCTCTGTGGACCAGAGGTCCTGTCCATTTGCTGGATCAGAAAGAAGGCTATGGATCAGGTTACTATCAAGCTATTTAACCAAAAATCTTTGTTTGCCTGTTGGTCCCTGGAGAATCCAGTTTGAACTAGATTATGTGAACCTCTCCAGGGGGTAGCTTCAAAAGGCGTCCCGAGTAGCTTATAGGACAGGGGTTCTCAACATTTTCTTTCTGAGGCCCCCTAACATGCTATAAAAACTGCATGGCCCACCTGTGCCATGACAACTGTTTTTCTGCACAGAAAAGGTCATTGTTAAAGGGTAGCAAGCAGGGCAATTGTCCAGGGCCCCACGCCACAGGGGGCACCATGAAGCTAAGTTGCTCAGGCTTCAGCTTCAGCCCCGGGTGATGGGGCTTTCTGCCCTGGGCCCTAGTGAGTCTAATGCCGGCCATGCTTGGCAAACCCCCTGAAACCTGCCCGCGGCCCGCCAGGGGGCCCCGGACCCGTGGTTGAGAACCACTGTCCTAGGAAACCAGATTCATATGTATTGGCCCAAACAATTCTTTGAAGATCATAATTCTTCCCAAATATTACATTAATCATGTCTTCTTCCTAAAAAAGTTCCATACAGTCCCACAATAATACATAAACCTTTACATTTTAATACAATGAACTCCTAAACTACTTAAGCCTAATACAGTAGGGTTTAACTTAGTTCAGTAAGGTTTATCCAGTATTTTGTCATGTCTGTCATACTATGTTCCCCTAGAACTTTATACTTAATTTCTTATGTCTTTAATTTGAGGAATGTAAAAGGTGCTGCCCTAGTTTAGAACCATGACAGTAATCAATTTAGCAAATGTTTTGGAATAAAGCCTTCTCTTTTAGAATAACACTTATAAAATAATGTAGCAGTATGAATATATAATTTTAAGGTTAAGGGAAAAAATTGAAACTTTAAATTTTACAATGTTTTTAATTTAGAAATACAACTGAAAAATGAAGCGTGTGCATTCAGTGACGAAGCTGTGCAGCACCTCGAAGATGCTACTGAAGCTATTAAGACACTGGTAACATAACCTGAAAGTATAAAGTATTTAAAGTCACTTGTACATGAGAAAGATGTACAGTGTGAAATGAGTGACATTAATATTTTACTGTTGTATCATAAGCAACTTTCTGCTCTGAAGGTCAGATTCTCCCGTCAGAGAAGGGAAGACAACTCCAGCTGAAGTCAGTGGAAGCTGTGCATGCACTTTGCAATGTGCACAATTTGGCCCTAATAATATAATCCAACTAATCCAACCCTACCAAGATAAATCACACAGCCAGGGAAAATGTGGGATTCTGTTACTTTGGAGCAGGGGCAGATGTAACCTCCCAATTCAATGGGTGTATTGTACCACATCCAGCCCTGCTCCTGCTCCCTCTGCTCCACATGCTCCCCTTCTCATCTTCCCCCAGGATGTAAGGAAGTTGCCATTGCAGCCTGGAGTGGGCAGGAGCGTACTAATGAGGTACCCCTTCCCCAGCGGCAATGGCACAGGCTCCCCCTGGCTTTCCCCACACCACAGCTCCCTGCCAGGCTGGATAAGGAGAACAGCCTGACTTGCCCCCACTGCCCCCCACCTAAATCCTTAGTGCTCTCTGCTTATTCAAGGCTTCCTGTTGGTCCATGGCACTGAGAGGAGCTGCTGTGTGTTCTGGCAGGAGGGCCAGGAAGGCAGAATTGGACCTGGATGCTGGCCATGCTTCCTGCAAGCAGGAGTGCTCCCTGTCCACCCTCTATACCTTCATGCTGGCTCGAGGCTTTCCGCCGGTGCTTGGCACTGAGAGGAGCTGCTGCAGGTTCTGGCAGGAGAAGGGATCTGGGTGCCAGTTGGGAGCCATGAGATGCAGTCATGGAAGTGCATTGTGGGTTTGATGTCTGTGGGTGCAGTTGCACCCATGGACCCTGACTAGAGCTGCCAGTGCTATGGAGGACTTCCCTAGGACTAGGCCCAGTCCACACTTTGTGTAAGTGTATGCACTTGCACTGAAGTCAAGAGCGGAAGGATGCTCTTGTGGTCAATGCAATGGATTGGGACTCCAGATCTGGGTTCCCACTGCTCTCACAGACTTCCTATTTTAGTTTAGAGCAAGTGATTTAGGCCCCAGTCTTGCAATGAGCTTGTGTGGGTGGAACCTCATTGAAATTAATGGGGCTCCACATGAGTGCAAAGTCTGCTTGTGAAGAGCTCTTTGGAGGATAAGGGCCTTATTCTTTCACTTAATCCCATCTGTATGAATGAGAAGAATACCTCTGTGTCTCATAGGGATATTGTGAGGATACATCATTTATGGATTGTTAGCTGCCCAGATGCTACAGTGATGAGCACTATAGAAAAGCCTGTATTAAAAAATAAAGCAAATCAATAATTTTGACCTAGGTGTTTTTCCCTCTGACCCCAATGCACTCTTTCCTGGAGCAACTCTTAGGCCTGGTCTACACTAGGCTTTTATGTCGACTTTAGCGCCGTTATATCGAATTAACCCTGCACCCGTCCACACCAGGAAGCCATTTAGTTCGACATAAAGCTCTCTTTAAATCGATTTCTGTAATCCTCCCCAACGAGAGGATTAGCGCTAAATTCGACATGGCCATATCGAATTAGGCTAGGTGTGGATGGAAATCGACGGTAATAGCTCCGGGAGCTATCCCACAGTGCACCACTCTGTTGACGCTCTGGACAGCAGTCCGAGCTCGGATGCTCTGACCAGCCACACCCCCGGGAAAATTTGAATTCATTTTCATTTTCCTGTCTGGGCAGTTTGAATCTCAGTTCCTCTTTGGACATCGAGGGGAGCTCAGCAGCAGTGGCAACTATGCAGAGCTCTCCAGCAGAGATGGCCGTGCAATCCAATAGAAAGAGGGCCCCAGCATGGACTGATCGGGAAGTCTTGGATCTCATCGCAGTGTGGGGCGATGAGTCCGTGCTTTCAGAGCTGCGCTCCAAAAGAAGGAATGCTAAGATCTACGAGAAGATCTCCAAAGCCATGGCAGAGAGAGGCTACAGCCGGGATGCAACGCAGTGCCGCGTGAAAATCAAGGAGCTGAGACAAGGCTACCAAAAAACAAAAGAGGCTAACGGACGCTCCGGATCCCAGCCCCACACATCCCGTTTCTACGAGGCACTGCATTCCATCCTGGGAGCGGCCGCCACCACTACCCCACCCCTGACCGTGGACTCCGAGGATGGGATCATGTCCGCGGCCGGTTCCTCGTCGGACATGACAGCGGACGGGGAAGATGAAGAAGGAGATGAGGAGGACGAGGCAGTCGACAGCGCTGGCACCGCTGATTTCCCCGACAGCCAGGAGCTCTTCATCACCCTTACCGAGATCCCGTACCAACCGTCCCCATCCCTTACCCCGGACACAGAATCAGGGGAAGGATCAAGCAGTAAGTGCTGTAAACATGTAAACATTTATTTAAAACAGAACGGTAATATTTATACTATTAACAATGTACATTTATAAAAGTTCTGTAAACTAGTAAAAAAATAATCAGGTACAAAACAGGAATATTTACAAAGGTAACAAATGGGTTTTCATGATTTCTCTGTCTCGGGCTCTTCTCAATTTAGTCCCAAGTGTTTTAAAAAATTTTCACAATGTCCGTTACTCCATGATTCCCAGGCCCAAGACGCTCCACTCCATAGTCCCAGTGCACCTACGCGAAAATCCGGTCAATGTGGCCGGGGATCGACGAGAAATCCTCGTAGGAGAACTCCTCGTAGGTCTCGTGGAGGTAGAGCTCAAGCCTGTTGATCAGGTTCCGGGGTAGGGCGATCTTAGTGGGCCCTCCGTGGTAGCAGACATGCCCCCTCCACGCCACAATCAAGTACTCCGGGATCATGGCCCGACATAGCATGGCGGCATACGGCCCCGGTTTCTGCATGCTTTCCCGCAGCATGCGTTCTCTCTGGGTGTCCGGGATCCTCAGGAGGGTGATGTCGCTCATGACGCCCTGCTTTGAATTAGGGAGGGGAATGTTAGTATTGGGACTGCTTTACAGCCACGCGGTGGAGGGAGAGGGGCAGCATACAGGGATCTTTCCCTGGGACAGCCGCGAGGGGGTGGGACAGGGGCAGAGTTGATGCTGTCCTGATTGCTGGCAGCAGAGACTGGCATTGCTTTCAATGTGAAAGGAGGCCAGTGCTACTGCTGGAGTTTTAAGCAGCCACAAGTCTGCGGCTTACCATTATTGCCCGCTCCAGAAGTTCAGGTCTCCAGCCACAGTTCTCTGAACAGTCCAAGACCTCCGCAAGTCCACAGGCACTGAAGGCGACGGCCGAAAATTCGACCTTGTCCTGAGTGCGCATGTGAGAGGTGCAGTGCATGGTCTTGTTCACAGAGAAAGACTAGGTTCTTTGTATACAATTTCATTTATCTGTCTCAGGAATTCACTCCCTTTTCACAATTCACACAGACACATCTGCGACTGTCTCCCAACCCAGCCTCTCAGCACACTCCCAGAGGCTAGCGCAGATTAGGCGGAGGAAGAAGAAGACGCGTGAAGACATGTTCTCAGAACTAATGGACTGCTCCCGAGCCCAGGCAGCCCAGCAGACACAGTGGAGGGAGAACTTGTCACAAATGCACCGAGCAGTCATGGAACGGGAGGAGAGGTGGCGTCAGGAGGACCAACAGGCTACTGAAAAGCTGCTTGGACTAATGAGGGAGCAAACGGACACGCTCCGGCGCCTTGTGGATGTTCTGCAAGACCGGAGGCAGGAGGACAGAGCCCCGCTGCAGTCTATCTGTAACCGCCCTCACCCGCCACCAAGTCCCACACCACCCTCACCCAAACTCCAAAGAAAGAGGGGCAGCAAGGGCCGTTAAAACTTTCAGTCAACCCCTGCAGACTGCTCTAGCACTAGAAGGCTGACATTCCCCAAAATTTCATAAGTCCTTTCCCACCCACCTCACAGAAGCCCCCGTCCAAGTTTCACACCCCACGTTTCATGTCTGGTTCGCAATAAAATGTTTGTTTCTCTCCATTACTGTTTCAGTCAGGTTCTTTTGAGGGAGAGTCTGTCTGGAGGGGGGGAAGGGGCTTGGTAATTGGGCAGGACAGTGACCTTTAGCAGGGTACAGAGGCGGTGTCAGGTCCAGCATCAGGACACATACACAGTGCAGTCACTGGTTACCCTGGTCAGTCTGGGAGGTGTTTTTCATGTTCTCCATTGAAATAACCAGTCCACCAGTGCGGAGCCTGTCATTCCGGGAGTTTAGAAGCATCATTTGCATCAGAACACTGAACCCGCCCCCCGCCACAGTCTGCGTCCCCGGTTTAAAATATTCCCGCGAAAACAGCAATACAGACAACGCTGTTCATTAACAAAATCGAAATGATTTTATTTTTTGGGAAGGGGAAGGGGGTGAAGGGGGTATGTAACTGGAGAGGATAGTCAAAATGAACTGGGTAAAGAAACGGGGGCAGGTTCAGCTTCTCTGTCCACAAACTGAAAAGTCACTGGTTGCCCTGCTCACTCAGGAACCTAGCTTTCAAAGCCTCCCGGATGCACAGGGCGTCCCGCTGGGATCTTCTAATGGCCCGGCTGTCTGGCTGGACGTAATCAGCAGCCAGGCTATTTGCCTCTAGCTCCCACCCCGCCATAAAGGTCTCCCCCTTGCTCTCACATAGATTGTGGAGCACACAGCAAGCTGCAATAACGATGGGGATATTGGTTTCACTGAGATCACAGCGAGTGAGTAAGCTTCTCCATCTCCCTTTGAGACGGCCAAAAGCACACTCCACCACCATTCTGCACTTGCTGAGACGGTAGTTGAACAGTTCTTTTTCTGTGTCCAGGGCGCCAGTATAGGGCTTCATGAGCCAGGGCATTAGCGGGTAGGCTGGGTCCCCGAGGATGACTGTAGGCGTCTCCACATCCCCAAGAGTTATTTTGTGGTCTGGGAAGTAAATACCTTCCTGCAGCCGTCTAAACAGACCAGAGTTCCTGAACACACGAGCGTCATGAACCTTGCCCGGCCATCCGACGTAGATGTTTGTAAACCGTCCCCGATGGTCCACCAGTGCTTGCAGCACCATTGAAAAGTAGCCCTTTCTATTGATGTACTGGCTGGCCTGGTGGTCCGGTCCCAGGATAGGGATGTGAGTCCCATCTATAGCCCCACCGCAGTTTGGGAATCCCATCGCGGCAAAGCCATCTATGATGACCTGCGCGTTTCCCAGGGTCACTACCTTTGGGAGCAGTACCTTCACGATTGCCTTGGCTACTTGCATGACAACAACCCCCACGGTAGATTTGCCCACACCAAAGTGGTTCGCGACTGACCGGTAGCTGTCCGGCGTTGCAAGCTTCCAGAGGGCTATGGCCACTCGCTTCTGGACAGTGAGGGCTGCTCGCATGCGGGTGTCCTTGCGCTTCAGGGCAGGGGACAGCAACTCACAAAGTTCGAGGAAAGTCCCCTTCCGCATGCGAAAGTTTCGCAGCCACTGGGATTCATCCCAGACCTGAAGCACTATACGGTCCCACCAGTCCGTGCTTGTTTCCCGGGCCCAGAATCGCCGTTCAACAAAATCCACATGCCCCATTGCCAACGTCATGTCCTGGGCGCTGGGGCTCGTGGTTTCTGACAGCTCTGTGCCACTCTCCGACTTCAGGCTCTCACGGCGGTGCCGTAGCCTCCTCGCCCGATTTCTCTGCATCTGCCTCAGGGAAAGGTGTATGATAAGCTGCGAGGTGTTGAGAACGGCCACAAGTGCAGCGATGGTCGCAGCGTGATCCATGATCGCAGTGCTGTGGCATCCGCGCTGTCACTGACCAGAAAAGTGCGCGAACTGATTTCCCGCCGGCGCTTTCATGGAGGGAGGGAGGGCGTTAGTGACGGACGGATGACGACAAATTTTTTTTACCCAGAAGGCATTGGCGGCTCGACCCAGAATTCCGATGGGCAGCGGGGACTGCGGGAACTGTGGGATAGCTGCCCACAGTGCACCGCTTCCAATATCGACGCTCGCCCCCTTAGTGTGGACTCACAAAGTCGAATTACTGTCCTTAGTGTGTCCTTAGTGTGGACACACACGTTCGACTTTGCAATATCGATTCCACATATTCGATTTAAGTAAAATCGAATTACCCTCGTAGTGTAGACATACCCTTAGTGTCCTTCACTACAGAGAGACGAGAACTCCCATGTGCATGGTTAGGGTGTCATCTGTGATATTTCTTAACTGGGAATGGCTGTTCATAGATGAACGGCATCTGTCATAAGGCCATGGTAGACATTAAAGCCAAAGTGGTTTCAAATAAAACAGTTTAAAAAAATCTCTTTAAGTTATCCGCTGATAAATGTAAATCTCTTATAAAACTCTCCTTTTTTCCTTCACTACTACTCTAACTCACCTGTTTCAACCCTCCTCTTCAGTAATTCGTCATTAAGGCTGCAATTCTGTCACGGAGGTTGCAGAAGTCACAGATTCTGTGACTTTCCACGACCTCCATGACTTTCGCAGCTGCAGTGGCTGGTGCGGCTGACCCCAGGGCTGCTCGGGTGCCCTGCGGCCAGCCGCACTGGCCGTTGCTCAGGTGGCCTTGGGCAGCTGGCCCTGGGGAGTACCCGAGCAGCGGTCCCGGGGGCAGCCCCGGAGAGCGCCCTGGCACTGGGACCTCGGAGTAGCGGGTGGCTGAGGGCAGTCAGCCCCCTTGGCCAGTGCAGGGGCTAGCCATTGGTCCCTGGGACCCCCTAGAGCAGCAGTGTCCTGGGGGCTACCCAGAGCAGCAGCACCCCCAGGCCCTAGGAGCTGCTAAGTTTTAGTCAGGGGTATTTATATAGTAAAAGTCATGAACAGGTCATGGGCCATGAATTTTTGTTTATTGCCCGTGATCTGTCCATGACTTTTACTAAAAATACCTATGACTAAATCTTAGCCTTATTCATCTTATTAATCAACTTATTCATGAGTTATTTTTATGTCACTAACTCAGTTCAGCAAAAGTGTTTTCTTTTTCACTTTTACTGCAAATTGAGGATATAATTCCTCTCCAGTGAAACCTTCATATTCTCATTGTGTTTCTTGTATACTATTGCCACCTCTTCAGTCTTTCTACACTTAAGGAAAGCAGTGTGTACTGGGTGTAAGTGTAGGCGTGTAGAATTGAGTATTTGAGGAATCGGCTTGGGCTACCTCTTTTTTTTTTTTCCATCTTGCTTAGGCTGGTGAAGATAACTGATAGCAGGGGTGAAAGTAAGTTAAAGAACTTACCAGAACGCTGGAGCCCTGGCAGCCCCAGGGCCTTTAAATCACCCCCGGAGCTACCAGTTGCAGAGGCGGCTGGGAGCCATGGGACTTGGGAGATTTAAAGGGCCTGGGGCTCTGGCCACCGCTACCGCAGCGCAGCTCCGGGCCCTTTAAATCTCTGATGGAGCCCTGCCGCCACTACCCCAGGGTTCTGGCAGCCGGGCTCGGGCAGCGATTTAAAGGGCCCAGGGCCCTGGCAGCGGGGAGCCCCTGGCCCTTTAAATTGCCACCTGAGCCCAGGGTAGCGGCGGAAGGGCTCTGGCGGTGATCGCCGCCCCGGGCCCTTTAAATCACCGCCAGAGCTCTGCTGCCACCACCCCGGGGCTCGGGCAGCGGGGCTCGGGAGGCGATTTAAAGGGCCCTGGGCTCCGGCCACTGCAGGGAGCCCCGGGCCCTTTAAATCGCCAGCCTGGGGAAGCTGATCTGGTCTGGCATGGCGTACTGGCTCTTGCCGTACCGGCTTACTTTCACCTCTGGCTGTTAGCAAAACTGAAGGGAAGACACAAAAATGCAGGTCAGGCATTAGGCATAGGTCTAGGTCACTACTTATTTATGGACCAGCCATTCTTCTCCACCCTAACCCTAACCCTAACCCTAACCAGCACAGCACTGACCCAACTCCCCCACCCACTGTACAGTTTCAGGGGCTCTGCCCCTTTAAGAGCTCCTCTCAGTCTCAGCAGTGACTCTAGCCTAGTTTTGATGGGTGCCTATTTAATGGTGCCTCCAACACACACACCCTAGTGGTCCACAGCCAGGAGCTGACACGCCAGTATGCCAGCCCAGGATTTGAGGGTTTTTTTCTGACATTTCATTATCCCCCCAAAATAGAAGCTGAGAGACAGGATCTGCCCCAGCAATGTGGTTCTGGCGCAGCTGCTCCCCCAACACAGCTTTTGGAGTGGGGAGAGGGTCTGGCCCTTTAAGGACTGCCCCACATGAGAAGCCTGGAGCTGCCACACCAACATGGCTCTGGCCAGCCCTCCATGGGACGAGGTTTTTTGGAGGGTAACTGGAGGGTGGGAGTGCCTAGGCTAGGGTAGCCATGTATAAAGGGGGAGAATGTAGAGTTTAGAAGCCCCAAAGCACTTTTTCATATATTGTTCTGTTAAGTGATTGAGGTTGAATCTAACCTTTGCGTGATCACCTATTTGTTAATTGTCAGGAAAAATTAAGAAGACGCACCCTTGAACTTCTAGAAGAGGAGACCATAAAAAATAGTAATCTCCGTTTAAAACTCCAGACTCTTCCAGAAGTAGTTACCAAGGAGTTGGAAGGTAGTGTCAAGTTAACCAACTCTGAGAATATAAGTGGGGAGACAAAATGTATCCCTAAAGTAAGAGAATCACAGCTGGGGGCGACCTATAGTTGACAGTTCCTATAGTAATGCATTAAAGATTACAGAAAATAAGCCACATTCAGATTGTTGTTATACATGTTTTTTGTGGGTGTTTTTTTGCAACAACTGCACACGTTATTTTTCTAGCTCTTGTTGGTGCAGCCCATGAATCCAGTACTGCTAAGATAACTCAATTACAGACTGCACTGAAAAACATCACGTATGAAATCGAATCACTGAATCAGAAGCAAATCCTTTGTGAAACCCAGAATGCTGCTATGTGGTATGTATATATTTGCCTCAAGCTTCGGTAAATCATATTGATAGAGGATTAAGGAGAAATGAAGTGGAATCAGAGCCTGGTGAACAGTGCTTGTCCCTCGTTTCTGCAGTGAGCTGCAAATCTTCCTAGGCAGCTCTTTGCTGCAGTAACAGCCTTGCTTTTGAAGATCTTTTGTGTCACTGCCTGATGCCAACTGCCCCCTGCTGTAATGATAGACTGGCTTATAGGAAAGTGACTGCAGATCTGACTGTGAAGACAGTGGCAGGGGGAGAGCCTTCTGCCTGCAACAATGAATGTCAGAGGACAATCAGAAGTAGAGAGAGTTTTAAATTTGCAGCCCCCAGATCGCCGCCTGTGGGCGAGAGCTCTGAGTTAGGTGTTTATGCTGAGAGCCCCCTAATGCTTTGGGGGGGAAATGCCAGGCATAGCTGTGTCAGCATAACCTTCTAGTATAAACACAACATACACTGACAGGAGGAGGAGTTCTGCCAGTATGGGAACACTACTTCTCCAAACAACATTAGTGATGCCAACAGACGCCATTGTCTGTCAGCACAGCTGCGTCTACACTGGGGATTTTGTCAGCATAGTATCCTGCCTAGAGAGTGTGGATTTTTCACATCCCTGAGTGACATAACTATATTGGTATAAACTTTAATTGTAGACCAGGCCAAAATCTCTGCAAACACCCCCTCATGAATCTTCCTCTTCCACATTGTCCCACTGGGATATTGGGACATTTGCTTTGTCCATGCCAGATTTCATGTTCCTGTCACTTTCTGCCAAGGAGCTAGAGTTGTTCAAAAAGAGATCATAGCGTAGTTTCTTACAGCAGGAAAACGGATATATTTTTCATTCCTTCTATGTTGGAAAACAGTTCATCTATTTTTTATTAAACTTTCAGAAAATATTCACACCTGAAGTAAAACTTTGAGAATGTTATAAGCAACTGAAAATGAACCTTTAAAATGGACAGGCTTAGATAGTCTTAATTACAGGCAATTCTATATGCACTACCTTACTTGTATTTTATTTCTATTTTTATATATATACCTGCCATATATATATATAGTGCTAGACTTGTCGGAGTCATTAATGTGTGCTTTACTTTATTGAAAGGTAGAAAATAAAGGTTCAGGTCTCGAGCTACACTGCAGTGTTTTTACTGACTTCAGCAGGCTTTGGACCAGGACTTGAATCCTTATGGCAGGTATGCAGTATAATCTGTCTCTGATTTATTTTTGCCAGTAAGGAGCAAGAGTGGCTGTGGGTCCAGCATGAAGAAGCTGTAGACTTACTGAACCAGCAGATGGCACAGAAGGCTAACACAAATATACTTTTAAATGAGTTTTGCAACAAAAAAAGGGATGCAGAACAAGAAATAATCAACCTACTGAATGCTGTCAAAGAAGTGAAAGATGTTCTAGCTAAAGAAATAAAAATATTTAATGATGAAATCGAAATGTGGGCTAGAAAGGTAAATATCAGGTGCTGTACTCCACAGTGATAAATGTATACATGTTAATATAGCTGCAAAGCTGAAATGGTTTTAGGAATTATACTGAAATGTTGATGTTTATTCAGTGCCTAGCACAATGGGGTCCTGGTCGATGAGTAGGGCTCCCGAGTACTATGATCATACAAATAATAAATCATAATAATATTTATGCTAAACATTTTACAGTTTGTTCTCATGGAGTCAAATTATGCCTTCATACCAATACAAAAGGAAAGTGACTTCCAAACAAACTCTTTATATTGGAGTGGGGACAGGGGGTCCAACACACACACACACACACACACACTATGGAATTTAAGAGAATATAAGAACTTTTATAGAGAGAGAGAGTGTGTGTGTGTATATATATTTTTCTTATATTCTCTTAAATTGCCTATTGAATTCTGACTTCTTCTGTTTAATTACTTTAATATGAGAAGAGAGAGAGAAGAAAAATATCTTTATTTTGCTTTTATATTTTGTCTTTCTTATTTGATTTCTATTTTGAAAAATGCCATAAAATATATCTTAAGGGGCTCTCAAACTGGGGGTCGAGACCCCTCAGGGGGTCGCAAAGTTATTGCATGGGGGGTCGCGAGCTGCCAGCCTCCACCCCAAACCCCGCTTCACCTGCAGCATTTATAATGGTGTTAAATATATAAAAACGTGTTTTTAATTTATAAGGGGGGGCCCCTTTGGAGGCTTGCTATGTGAAAGGGGTCACCAGTACAAACGTTTGAGAACCACTGTAAAAGGATATTACATTCTTTTAGTTTGACAAAAATATTTTTCTGTAGAACAAATTATAGCCCCAGTACTGCCAGGACCTAATCACGTGCCTAATTTTATGCACCGTGAGTAGTCCCGTGTAAGTTAGTGGGACTGTTCATAGCATATAAAACATGTGCATAAGTCTTTGCTGGGTCAGAGCCTAAATTAATACTCTATTCTAATGAATTATTAATAGGATTTTCCTGTAGGGTTTGTGCACAGAAATTATAGACAGTGTCCCTGTAGAAAGTTCTTTTCTTCTAGTATAATTTTCCCATTAGTATAACACTTTTTATTGAAAGGCTCCAGAGACTGCCCTATTTACAAATATAGAGACTTTCTTCTTTAGTTAAGCAATACATAATAGCTTGTAAAAATGGTTATATTTTTAAATGTAGAACGCAGAGATGAAAACAAAACTTGATCTTCAGAAGGAAAAAAATTCAGGAAAAAAGGATGAATTAGAAAAATTGTCCATAAAGCTATCGGCTGTGCAGTCTGAGATAGCTCAAAATACAGCGGTAAGGAGAAAATAACTAGCTTCTCGCAATAGAGTTCTTATTTCAATGCAAATTCTTACTGTAAAGAGCATCAACTTTTAATTTAATAGCTGGACAAATTGGAGGGAGTTGAGAGAAGAGGGCTGGAGGGAGCAGCTTCTATGAAGAAAGAATAAAAGAGCTAAGGACTTGTCTACATGAGGAAATTAACCAGCATTATTAACCAGTAATTATTCCATAATAAAGTCACTTTTGTTCTGGAATAGTGTCCGCGTGGGGAAATTATACCAGTATTGCTATAGCAGAATAATTGTTCTGCTATAGCTATGGCAGTCAGTTTTCCCATGCAGACATGCACTTTATATACATGCAACAGCTCAGCTAGATGATGACACAGGCCCCATTCCTGTAACTGGCTCCAGATGATTGCCCAAGCAGAGCCACTTGCAGAATCAAGGCTAACGAGGAGAAATGACAAATTGCAAATACTTGATGGCTAAAAATACCAAACAGAAAAAGGGGTTATTTAGTGTGGTCCAAGGTGGCATAACTAGGAACAATGGGAATTATAGAAAGGAGAACACTTAATCTGTGAATCAGGAAAGATATCTTGGCAATGAGATGTATTAGAATATGGAATAATCAACCAAAGGAAGTGATGGAAGCCCAATTGCACAGGACTCTCAAAAGTAAATTGGACAAAATAACACCGCTCCCATTGATGCATGAATAAATACAATATAGGGCATCTCAAGAGCTGGGAAGTCAGAACTAATAGGATGAAAAGGGTAATTGGGATTTCTTTGCCTTCCACGCAATACTGGTTACCATTTTTACCCCATATAGTCCAAAAACAGTTTTCCCTTGTTTTTTCACAGGAATAATTTCTCTTAAAAATGTAGGGAGAGATCAGTATCTTCATCTGTCCTCTTACTCTATGTCTTCACTGCAGAAGTAACTTGAGTTATCTACGTTTTAGTTAATTCCTCTTGAGTTAGGCCTGTCTACACTTAAAATTTAGGTCAATGTAGGTACAGTGCTCAAGGATGTGAAAAATCCACGGAAGTAGCTGTGCCAACCTATCTCACAGTGTAGATGCAGCTAGGAATGTTTCCAGCAACTCAGGCCTGGTCTGTACTATGCAGTTAGTCAACTTAAACTGCTTTGCATCAACCTAGCTGTGGAAGTCTCTTCACTTCAATTGGGCTCCTGCTGATGTTAGTGCCGCTGTATGCTGATTTAGTAACACCCCCCACCCCCAGCAGTATAGAGTCACGGTCAATGTAGTTAGACCAGCACAGTGTCGGTGTAGACACTGGGTTGCTTACGTCGACTGTCACTTGCTTTGAGGAACCGTCCCATAATGCCCCACACTGATAGTGCAATCGATATAAGTGCTTCTGGTGAGGACCGCGCACTGTCGACCCATGGAACCAAGAGTGCGTGCACACAAGCGATTTAATAACTGCAGTGGCTGTATGCCGACGTAAATTAGGTCGACATAATTTTGTAGTGCAGACATGGCCTTAGTTACCGTCGCCTGGGGAAGTGATGTTTCTACAATGACGGAAAAACTCCTTCCGTTGCTGTAGTCTGCGAGTACACTATGGAGTTGTGCTGGCCCAGCTGTGGTGCCACAACTATGCCGCTACAGTCCCCGTAGGGTCGACATGGTGAAATAACACATGAGCAGCACAGAGTGATTGGATTAGCTCCTGATGGGTCGGCCCATACCTCCTGATGGGGCAGCCAACTTGAGTTAAAAGCACTACTGCACTTGTTAAGGTTTTTGTATGTGGACAGGAGATGAGTTAGAGCAGTGGTCCCCAACGCGGTGCCCGCGGGCGCCATGATGCCTGCCGGGGCATTTATGTGCACCCGCGTAGTGCCCAGCAGGGGAGAGAAGCTGCGGCCCCGCGCCTGATGGGGACAGAGAACTCAGGCTGTGGGCACGGTGTTCTCTGTCCCCGGCAGGAGCGGGGCCTGCCTAGTGCCCAGCAGGGGAGAGAAGCTGCGGCCCGGCGCCTGCCGGGGACAGAGAACTCCGGGGCTGCAGGGCGCAGTGTTCTCTGTCCTCGCGGCTTCTCTCCGCACTGCCCAGAACTGCCGCAAAAAAAAAAAAAAAAAAAAAAAAAAAAAAAATAGGAGCCTGCCACACTCTTCTGAAAACATGAATGTGCTATTGGCCACAAAAAGGTTGGGGACCACTGCGTTAGGGGCTAACCTCAAATTATAATTCAAATTAATTGCAGTGAAGACAAGTTAGAGGATAGAGTTTGTAGCTCAAAGATCTTTAAATCTCTTGGTTATCACTGTGACTCAATTTATTAACACTGTTAGTGATAAAATAGAGTAATTATAGCAAAGCACTGGCTTGACTAGTACCTTAAATATCATTTTTTTTTATATTGGCTAATGGTTTTGCTTGTGATATTTCAGAATAAATATTAAAAAGTTACACAAAAATCATATGCAAAAATTACATGGTCTTTAAAAAAGAAAAGAAGTAGCAGTAAATTAATTTTGTGAGTACTATTTATGGAAATATTGTGCATCAGTACTAACTAATTTAACTTTTAATAGATTATTTTTAATGAGAAAGTTCAGATAGCACGACTGAAAGAAACAAACGAACAACTAATAATGGAATTAAAACTTAAAATGACGGAAAAGCTGGAACTCTGCGAAAGGAAGTATGTGATTTGATTCTTTGTTCTCTTTGCTAAACTTGTGTCAGCATTTAAAATTTCTGTAATCTTTAAGGAGTTAACAACAGTATTTGTTTGTAACCAGCCAGATTTAATAAATTATTTGAATAATTAAATATATAGAATGGTAAGTAACTTCAAGTCAGTTATTGTATTTATAAATGTAGCTTTGGCATCTAATCCATGCACTGGTTGCACAATCCAGTGCTATTCCTGGGAATCAAACTACCCCTCTTTCTAAAATATTGCAGGTCACCTGTCAATCTTTCTGTTTGTGTGATTGTTTATAAAGACACAGAGTGGCTGACTTAAAATAGCAATATTTTAGGGGCCAATCCAATGCTCATTGAAGTCAGTGGGATTCTTTCCATTGACTTCAGTGGGCACACACACAAAAAAGTAACTCAAATGATATATTGGTGAATTTGAGGTAGTTGCCATGGAATAACTAGTCACATACAGTGTACATAGGGCCAGAATTGTGCCCAGCTGCTCTGTGTGTGTGGGCTGGGGAGGGTACACGTCAACACCAATGCACTATGTTGCCCCTCTGAACAGCTACAATCCCTGTGCTCTGTAGGGCAGGGACTACTCCTGCCATGTGCTCCCAAAGGTGAAAGACACCCCAAAGGGACAGGGAGGAAGCTGAGTCATGGATTACTTTAGATGGCACTACCGAGCTCATCATTAGATTACCCCGACTGAAGGGCTACAGTGAAATGTCCACATGCTCAGTCATTTCTCTGAGCTTTTTAACAATTTTGAAATTAAGTGTTTTTTCAGCTGATGGAAAAATACAACATGGGAATTTTCTTTGCAAATCAGACTTCCAGTTGAAATCCAAGATCTTGCCTCCACCAATGGCCAATACCTGATGCTTTGGAGGAAGGCAAGAACACCTAACCATAGAGAAAATATTAATCCTGGGAGCCCTGTATAAATGATCTTATTGCCTTGAACCTTTAAGTTTGACTACCCTTTTCCTAGCTGGCATAACTACGCGTGTCATTATTAGTAATAAAACTATTCGGTTCTTTTCAAAATCCAGCTGCAGTCCAGTACCGGAACGTGGCCCTGATCTGTCAGCATTTATGTACATGCTTCATTTTACTACCATGAGTGTTGACTTCAGTGGGACTATTCATGGTAATAAATTGAAGCACATGTATACATGTTCACAGGCTCAGGGCCTTTGTGACATGCTGCAGTGAATTTCATTGGCTAGTATGACAAAAGCATTCCCGTTGTATGACTCTTATTTTTTATAGTCCCCAAAGTGTGTGAGGTGCCTTTTTTGCTCTACATTTTCTTGCCATTATCTCTAGCTCCACCTCATATTATATAATGGGCCAGGGCCTTAGTCATTTTAAGTTAAACTGAAGACCTACCGCAATATGTTCCTTCTTTCCCTGTGTTTGGCACAAATCCCAAAACCCAAGCTACGTGGGATTCTCAAGTTTCCACATTTCTTTGTTATGAAGCCACCAGTTTTTCTCCTCTTCCTTTCTTAAATTCTTCCCTCCTTTGTCAGATTTCTTCCTTCTCACATTTTTCCTCTAGCTAGAAGGATGGGCCAGGTGGCTCCTTGCTTGACCATGGGCAATGCTGCATGAGGAGCAAGGAAAGTGAACAGCTGTCATGCTTCCCCTGCCATCTCTAAGACACGCAAGCACACAATGTCCATCAGAAGCAAGATTTATGAATTTGTTTTCAATTTGTATTCCATCCACGAGGCTGGTATCACTGGATATGTCTACACTGCAGTCAAAGGTGTGATTGCAGCTTGGGTAGGCCTCCTAATGCTAATGTTGTGGCTAATTGCAGCTTGGGTAGGCCTTCTTAGCACTAAATTGGTTAAAATTAGCAGTGAAGATGCAGCTGCATGGGCTTCAGTGCAAGATAGCAAGATGAGTAGATACCCAGGGTCTCACGGCAGTCTAGTATAGCTCACACTGAAGTCTGTGCTGCCACATCTTCACTGCTATTTTTAGCAAGCCAGCTAGATCTCAGCTAGTGCAGGTATATCTACACACGCTGCTATCAAATCTCCGGTTGTAGTGTAGACATACCCACTGTCACTGGCTGGCTTTATCTGCGTCACAAGTTGTATATTAGTCAGGTGTGTATATGGGAAGCGCCTACTGCTGAGTAAAAAAATCTCTGTATTTGATAAACATTCAAGGTGCATTCTAAAATACTGTATGTTGTGTTTACACTAAAGGTATGAGAATAAGAACATGTAACATTTAACAGGCCATTGGTCATAGTTCTTTATTCATGTTCACTCCTTAATATGTCTGCATTGGCTTTGTTTCATAGACATAGCCTCGATTCTGATCTACTGCTTTTGCAATCAAAAATTGCCCAAGAAAGGGAGAATCTAAATATTGATATAGCAAAGGTAAGAAGCAGATTTTTTTTTTTACTACTTCGTTGGTTTTTAAAATATATGAATATACAGTAACTCCTCACTTAAAGTCGTCCCAGTTAACGTTGTTTCGTTGTTACGTTGCTGATCAATTAGAAAACGTGCTCGTTTAAAGTTGCACAATACTCCCTTATAACGTTATTTGGCAGTCGCCTGCTTTGTCCACTGCTTGCAGAAAGAGCAGCGCGTTGGAGCTAGCTGGTGGGGGCTTGGAACCAAGGTGGGCCGGCAGCCCCCCTATCAGCTCCCCACTCCCCTAAGTTCCCTGTGCAGCAGCCGCCCAGCAGGCTATCAACTGCCAGGCAGTTCAGCCATAAGTAACTGCAAAATACCTGTGATGTGATCTGTTAATAGGTATAATTTATATAAGCAGCATTATTTTATTTTAAAAGCAGCAAAGAGTCCTGTGGCACCTTATAGACTAACAGACGTAT